CGCCTAATATTTCACTAACCATCTTATTGTTCTCGTGAATTCAAGAGGTAGCAAAGGGAACGGGCTCTTCCAGACAGACCCATTCATTAGTGGGGGGAGGGGGGAAGCTAAACACACACGCACACACATGCGCACACACACACACAGACACACAAAAATAAAAATTAAAAAAAAAGTACCTAAAGGAACTTGTAGCAATTCCAGCCTACGTCAAACCCGCTCCCCACCCGCTTCCATGGTTACCAGTTCTGACAATTACATAAACGTTAACAATGGTTTTTTTTCCTCTTAATAACACAAGTACCTCTAAGCAAAGAATATCCATACGAAACTAGGAGGAAAACAAAACAAAACAGAAAGACGACCCCTGCTCAGTTGAAAGAAATTTCCTTGGGGGGGAAGGACGGGGAGGGGGGACGGCACACCCAGGCCTGGTTCAGTCATGGATACGGCTAAAAAGAGAGGAGGTCAGAAGGAAAGAGGTCCGTGTTTGTTTCTCCAAGGCTAAACAGGATGAACTCCATCCCGCCTATGTGTTATGGGGGTGGGAGGGCACTTTCCTCCTATCAAAACCAAGAATAATAATAAAAAGAGCATTTTCTTTGGGGGGGAAGAGGGTGGAATCCAACACAAATAGGCCTCAATGGACAAGAAAGGTCTTAAGGCCGGCTATCCGTGCAAATGGGTACGACTGGAAGAAAAAAAAACGAAGACTACTGCTAGCAAGGGTTAAGCGTTGCACGGCAGAACGTCGTCGTGCGCCTTTTGGTGCAAAGGAATTAACATTTGGGGTTGAGCTTTGTCGTGACGATTGCAAAGTGCTAATGAAAGGAAAGGAAAGGGAGGGATCGGCCACAAAGATCACCAGCTCCTTGTGTCGTATCTCCCGTTCTTTCTACATCCTCCTTTTTTCCGGTTCCTGGGCTCGGAAGGGGAAAGCTCAGGCCCACCCCACAACTTGCTGCATGGAGGGGCATTTTCGTGATCCAACCTCACCTAACAGGCGAGCAGAAGGAAAACATAAACAGGGAGGAGTAGCGATGGACGAAACAGTGCCTGATGTAGGATGGAGAGACTAGGAAGAAGAGAAGAGAGGAGAAAAGAGAGAAAAGCTTGGTTTGGTTTGAAGCCTCCCCATGACTGAACAGGGAAACGGATGGCCCTTCTTTGTTTTGTTTTGTTTTAAAGCAGCAAGTCTAGGGAAAGGTTATGTTTATGGCGGATGGGCTCTGAGCTCGCTGGCAGAGTCTTTGGCTTATGTAGGAGAGGTATGCATTCGCAGGTGGCTGATGAGGTTGCGTTGCTGGGTGAACTTCCCGCCACACAGTTGACATTCGTAGGGCTTTTCCCCTGAGTGGACGCGCATGTGTTCTGTCAGTCGGTACTGCCGGGTGAAGCGCATCCCACACTCCTCACAAGCGAAGGGCTTGAGGCCCAGGTGGCTGCGCATGTGCCGCGTCATGGTGCCCCGCTGCGTGAACATCTTGCCGCAAATATTGCAAGGGAACGGCCGCGTCAGCCAGTGAGTCTTCTCGTGCTGCCGTAGAGTGGCCGGATCTTTGTAGCTCTTCTCGCACACGGAGCACTTGAAGGGCCGGGATTCCGTGGTGTAGGGCTGGTTGGGGTTGGACAGATCCTCCGCCTCTTCCTCCTTGTCGTCGTACGCCCCTTCCTCCTTGATGTAGAGGTCTTCCTCCGTGTGTTTCTCCACGTGGGCGTTGAGCTGCTCGGAGCTGGGGAAGCCCTTCCCGCAGGGGATGCAGACGTAAAGGTTGTCCCCGAAGGCCACCGGCTCGTAGCCTTCCTGCCGGTAGACGTAGTTGGTGCTGGTGTGGCCTCCGCTCTCGCTCTCGCTCTGCCCGCTGTCGTCGCTGTTCTCCTTGCCGTTCTCTACATCCTCTTTGCACGGGAACGGCAAATCCGGCCCGTACGCTGCCAGGCCCAGGTTCCTCTCCGCCGACTTCGACAAGGAGCCCATGAGGATGCCGTTGGGCAGCCCCTCGCCCTCCTCGCCCCCTTTGCCAGGGAGGATGCCGCCTTCCTTCCGGTCGAAGGCGCTGTCTTTCTTGATCCACTCCTTCTTGCGCGACGAGTGCCGCAGGCTTTTCCGTTGGCTCCCTTCCGGGCGGTCTTCGCTCAAGTCCATTTCCATGGGTTCGCAGTGGTCAGCAAGATTGGGGGGAGCACCGGCATTGGACTCTTCGAAGGGTGAGGCACTGTTGGCTGCAGGGGCCGAGGCAGGTTGCGGGGAGCCGCGCTGGCTTTCGCCATGCTGCGCGTCGTCCTGGGCAGCAGCTAAAGGGAGCGGGGGGCTCTTTTTCGACAGGTCGAGCCCAATCTCTTGGTCCCCGTTGCTCCCGTTGGCGCTGCTGCTGCTCCCGTCGCTGCCGTTCTTGCTGATTCCCCTGCTGAAGGCATGTGAATTCTCTTGGTTGGAACTGCTGATGAAGACCTCGTCGTCCGAGATCTTTCCCTTTGGCATCTCCTTCGAATGAGAGCCCTTAATCCCCTCAGTTGACCCTGAATAACGAGTTATGACGGACGTGGTGGAAAGTCTCTGGCTACGAGGGGGCCTCCCGACGCCGGGGGCGCCACCCGCCCTGGTTGCAAAAGACCGCCCGTTGCGTTTCAGCTTTTTTCTGCAGAGAGTAGCAAGTTCAGGTAGTTGGAGGTAGCTTGCAGCAGTGAGTAGAGCGTTAAAGTTCTGTTCACCAGGCTGGTCAGTCATTAAGAGCTTGCCAGTATAAATAAAGTCCAAGATTTGCCGGAACACGGTCGGGTTGACCATGTCAGTATCTAAGTTGATCAGGTTGTCGTGCAGGACGAGGGATTTGAAATACATGCTGCTGGCGGCCAGAATGTTCTTGTGAGCGCGGAAGAGTGCATTTTCTACGACAATGATCACATCACAGAGGAAACCTTTGGCTCGTTGCTGGTTTAGCTGCAGCAGCAATTGTTTGGCATGATTTGGCAGTTCCATCTCCACCTCCTCTTCCTTTCCCCGTTCACGTTATCACCTAAAACCAAGACAGAACAACAACAACAACAAAAATGAGGTAGAAAGAACAAAGAGGGCGAGTTCATTTTTCTTCTGCTCCAAATACATTCCAAAAACTGCTCTGATGAAAATAAACACAACCAGACACCTTTAAGGATCCTTTTCTCCTAGTAATCACTGTTACTCCATGTCCTCAAGTATCTTTCTATTAAACTAATAGTAAGATTACAATTTCTGTTCCTTTTTTAAAAAATGGAGCTGAGCATAATATTTGATCTCACCACAGATCTGGCAGCAGTTATATAGAAGCACCTAACAACAGCAATAAAATGTTGCAGTGTATTCCCCAGCTTTTTTCGGACAGATGTCTGAATACTGTATTTGTCAGCCTGTTTAAAATAAGAATCATGTGACCTCAAGACAGTTAGGACCTATGGCAACCCTTTCCAGGGTTTTCTAGGTAAATCAATAGTGGTTTATCCTTCTCTTCTTCTGGGGGTGCTTTGGAACTGTGCAGCTTGCCCAAGGCCACACAGGTTGGCTCTTCTCTCAGGAGGCTCAGCGGGGGGAATAAAATCCCCAACCTCTGACTCCACAGCCAGGTACCTAAACCACTGAGCTAGGAGGCTTCAAAAACAAATATACTATATTTTCCATGTATAAGACTATACTTTTGTCTAAGATCTTTAGACTAAAATTGAGGGTCATCTTATACACGGAAGAAAGCTGAGGAGATGGGAAAAAACAAGTGGAAGGGAAAGCAGGGATCAAAGCGATTCTGCAGCGCTTTTATCCCTTTCCCCTCCACTTGCTAAACCCCACTTAGATTTCTTAATTTTGGGTTTAAAAAGTGGGGGGGGCGTCTTATACACTGAAAAATACGGTATATCAGAAAAGAGTGAAGCAGCTTTATTTTGCAATGGTTCCATTCCAGTGTGAGAAGTCCTCTTAACAATCGGAGTCTGCTTACTAGATAGAAGGAATGCTGTGACTCACAACAGACTCAAGCAACATTAATGACCTGAAGAGATAATTATCAAAGTGGAAGGGAAAAGCTGTGTAGTCACTGTACATTTTTGTGCACACATTCAGATATACGTACATTACAGCCAGATCCCCACACAAGGACTTTATTCTTAAAGACCCAAAAATTTCTTTCCGTAAGACAAAACAGCAATAATGGCTTACCAGAAGCAAATATCAGAGGACAGGAAAAGGAGGACCACAGGATGCTACCCACTGTTATAAAGCCACCCCTCAACTGATGCCCTCTGCAATTCTTGAACTATAATCCCCATCAGACTGAGCACAACCAGAGATTATAGGCATTGTAGTTCAAAACATCAACTGTAGCCCAGGATGAGGAAGGCTGCTCTAAGCCAATACAAATGAAATAGCTGGATTTTAAACAATTCTTGATACACAGCCTTATAAAATATAATCAAACTGATCCTCTCAAGTAATTAACAAAATTAAAACCACCATAAACCTTTGAATTAGCACAATTAAAGCTGAACATGGAGAGGCCCACACTTTGTAAACCCTAGAAAACGAAAGGCTACAAAACATGTTTCGCAGGCCCCATAAATAAATAAAAATACATCTTTGCAACCTAAAATGGTATTTTTTAAAAAATCTTTACACCTGTCTTCCTATTTTCCTCCAAAGGAACATCACTATAGCACAGAGAGCAAGCCCAATCTTAAAAATCAGAAATCAGTTAATAAATTTACAATTAGGTGTAGCTACAAACTGGGCTTTACAACATTTTCAAGTGAATAAACATCACCACCATCATTATCATAAACCTCTGCCTTCAAGTCAATTCTGACTTACAGTGACCTTTTCAGGGTTTTCCAAGCAGACAGCACTAAGAAGTGGATTACCCTTCCCTTCCTCTGGATATGCCGTTGGACTGAGAAGCTTGCCCAAGGCTACACAGGCGGGCTGTTCTCCCAGGAAGCACAGTGGGGGAATTGAACCCCCAACCTCTGGCTCTGCAGCCAGGTACTTAAACCACTGAGCTATCCAGCCAGCTAAGGTGGGCACAGAAGTTTTAAGATCTTCTTGGGCTTTCTATTCATTATTCTTAGCACAGAAGTACCTAGCTATGGGTGTCATTGTCGTCGTCATCATCATCATCTCTTAGAGCACAACACCTGTACAGAACCACAGCCCCTAGTCTCTCTCACTACGTAATCTGATCTTTTGTTCCTCGTTTACTTGCTAAAAGGGAAAGTCGGACAACCACCCCTAACATTTAGTGAACAGTGAAGCATGTGAAACTAATGAAAGATGGTTTATTAATAGAAAGGGTGCCTCTCCCCTCTCCCCTAGGTAAGGCTCTGAAAGACTTTGTGGGAGGGCTAAACGTGAGATGGAAAACACAGAGTGGATTCAATTCTAAAACGAATGTAAAAGGAAATGAAACCGGCCCCACATCTTTCAGTTATAAAAATAAATGGAAATGTCTAAAGAATTGATTCCTTTGAATTTTTTTCCATTTGTTTCCCTCGGGATGGAAACGTGGAACAGGTTGGAATAGCATGTACAGTTCATGTAAAGATTATTGGAGGTAGGTGGTGCAAGTGACAGCTCTAAAACGGAAGCATTTTGTCCAATGTGTTTGAAATTGGACAAATCTAATGGTTCCCGGGCAGCAAAGCACACCTGATGCATCTCATCAGGAAGGAAACATAGAAGTTAAACAGGAAAGAAAAAAAAACCCAATGGAGTAACATAGAAGTTAAACAGGAAAGAAAAAAAACCCAATGGAGTATCTTTTCTCAATGTCATCTCCCTGACCCACCAGATTCTCCCAGGCTATACTCATCCGGGTGGGCACCCTGAGACAAGACTGTAAGTCATCTACAAGAAGTCAGGCCTTATTCAGAGTGGCACCAACATTGTGAAACCAGCTACTAGTAGAGCTATGCTTGGCCTCCTAAATATTACCGTATTTTTCTGTGTATAAGACGCCCCCATGTATAAGACACCCCCCCCACTTTTTAAACCCCAAATTAAGAAATCTAAGTGGGGCTTATCATGTGTAGGGGGAAAGGGATCAAAGCCCTGCAGGAACAATTTGATCTCTGCTTTCCCCTCCACTTGCTTTTTTACTCTCCTCAGCTTACTTCCGTGTATAAGACAACCCTCAATTTTTAGTCTAAAAATGTTAGACAGAAGTATAGTCTTATACATGGAAAAATACGGTAATTCAAAAGGCAACTTAAAATGCTACTTTTTAGAGAGGATGTCCACCCCACCCCATGTGATTTACACCTCTAGTCCCACTGTATTATGGCAAATTTGTGGTTGGTGCCATTTGTTTTGATTCGCTTTCAACTTTTTAGTATGCATTAGCATTTTATACCGTAGTGTGTCATTTACTACTGTCGTAAACCACCCAGAATAAAGCATCGCACTAAAGGGATGGCATGTAGATCTGATCAATAAATTAAATTAAAAATAATAAATAAATAATAAAACCACGTGGATTCCTTCACTGAAAAAATTAATAATAATAATAAATAAATAAATGAATAATAAAACCACATGGATTCCTTCACTGAAGCAAACAGAAGATGAAGCTAACAGAAACCAAATAAATACAGAAATGAGTGAAAAAAACATTTTGCTGTGCATTGCCTATGCAGAATTTAAGGTTATATGAGACATAAGGCAATTATTGTGGATATCAACATGCTCAGATGTCAAGGTTCATGACCGAAGTCCTCCTCTCGATTATTCTCCACCAGGTGAACTGTGGTGGTGGGTGTTCCTGGGTGCAGAGAGAAGACATTCTGGGGCTTCAGCACCATGGTTAAGAGAAGCATGTTTGGTCTCCATGCTGCTGTTGCAGATTTTGTGGGTATGTGATATTGCCAATACAATTTTTTTTTTTTGCTTTGGGTTTATTTTTAAAACTTTTTTTAAAAAAAACCCTAGTACTTTTTTGCAAGCTTCCATTCACTTCAAAATCAGAAGGGTAGGTAGAGAAACTCAGCTAAGAAAACAGTGGTTGCCATTCCTGGAGTTTGCTCAGATATTTTTGAACGTCATCCCTCCGGAAACCCCAGCTTAGTGTGGCCAGCGGAAAAGTGATGGTGGGAACTGGAACTTTACGACATGTGGGTACCCAAAAGTTTGGAACTGTGATAATAAAGTGAACTGAACTGCCAGAGAACCACCAGAACACTCTCAATACTAGAACAACAGAAGAAGGCGGAAGGAGGAAGACGGAGATCTTAGGAGACAGGAACACTGTCTATTTTCTACTGCTGTGAGGGCCCATCCCATCTCAGACCATAAGGATACTGCAAAGCGTCTGAGAAAGAAGCCTCTGCCACTGCTTGCATAGCTTTGATGGCTGCCTAATAGAGATGGGCATGTCTTCGTTTAGCCGTTTAGTCGTGTCCGACTCTTCGTGACCCCATGGACCAGAGCACACCAGGCCCTTCTATCTTCCAGTGCCTCCCGGAGTTGTGTCAAATTCATGTTGGTTGCTTCGCAGACACTGTCCAGCCATCTCATCCTCGGTCGTCCCCTTCTCCTCTTGCCGTCACACTTTCCTAACATCAAGGTTTTTTCCAAAGAGTCTTCTCTTCTCATGAGATGGCCAAAGTACTGGAGCCTCAGCTTCAGGATCGGTCCTTCCAGGGAGCACTCAGGGTTGATTTCCTTTAGAATTGATAGGTTTGTTCTCCTTGCAGTCCAGGGGACTCTCAAGAGCCTCCTCCAGCACCACAATTCAAAGGCATCAATTCTTCGGCAGTCTGCTTTCTTTATGGTCCAGCTCTCACTTCCATACATCACGACAGGAAAAACCATAGCTTTGACTATTCGGACTTTTGTTGGCAAGGTGCTGTCTCTGCTTTTCAAGATGCTGTCAAGATTTCTCATCGCTTTCCTCCCAAGAAGCAGGCGTCTTTTAATTTCGTGGCTGCTGTCCCCATCTGCAGTGGAGCCCAGGAAAATAAAATCTGTCACTGCCTCCATATCTTCCCCTTCTATTTCCCA